AGCTCTAGGGCCTGTTGTTACCTCTGAAGCCTTCTCTTAAGGTTATATAGTCACTTGACAAACATTTACAGATTTTTTTTTTTTTAAACAGGGTCTCACTATATAGTTCAGGCTGGCTTTGAACTCACTAGGTGGCTCAAGCTGGCCTTGAATTCATGATGATTATCCTGCCTCAGCCTCCCAAGTGCTGAGATTATAGATATGTGCTGCCATGCCAGGCCAAGCACTGAATTACCAAGAGGAGTAAACTCAGGTTTTCTAGCTCCATGGGGGACAGACACAAACCACAACCTCACAGTGTCACAGGCAGAGTGGGCTTTATGTCCTGGGATCAGCCTCAAAGGGGCTGTGAGGGGGCCCAGCTCTGGACTCTCCAGGTTCTACCTTGGGAGGAGGAGGTACACAGCTGTGGAGAGGGCCTGGGGCTGGGACTCTCAATCCTCAGGAAGTCTGGGCCCACCTGCGAGCCTTCACTGAGGCAATCGCAAACGCCCTGGGCTGGTCCTGTCCCTCCATCTAACTGGAGCCCCACACGCCTTAGTTCTGGGCTTTGGGGGGTTGTTGAACAGGCTGGTGGCCCAGGGGGACAAGCAGAGGGAGGTCAGAGATACAGCACATCTCCAGGCCATGGGGACCCCTACACTCTCAGAGATGCCCCCCAGAAGTCTGAGGCCCTGTGCACAGGCCCCTGTATCCACACAGGCCCTGCACACCCTGGCCCCTCGGTCCCCTCTGGTGTACCCAGCACGAGGCCTTCTGCTGAGATGAGATCTGACAGCTGAGCCCAGCTCCGGGAAGGGTGGAAGGAATGCTCAGCCCAGCCCAGCCTCCTGTGGCCCATGGCTCCCAGCCCAGAGGCCCTGGGTCAGGGATGAGGGGCAGGGCGGTGGGAGGAGACGGCCTAGAGTGCAAGAGGTGTGCCGTGGGGGGCGGGTGGTGGGGGCACCGGATCGCCCACTCTGTGGGTGGGCCTGGGCAACTCTCCTCATTGCCCACCTACCTCACACTTCAAGTCTCAAGGTGGGATGGGGTAGGACCCAATAATCCCCAGATTCTTCCAGGGACCCCCATGAAGACAGGGCTCATGCTGTATCTGCATGAGCTCCGGCTTTTACCTGGAGCAGGGATGAGGTTGACTGAGGACAAAGGATGAGGCCTGGGTCCCCAGGAATGAGTGAGTTTAGGGGGCCAGGAGCGGGCCTCTCAGGGCTTCCTCTAGGTTTATGGCTCAGCTCAGGCACATACCTGCCTCCGGGGGTCCCAGACTGCTCCTCTCCCTGCAGCATTCTGCCAATGGCCCCCCTTCTCTCGGCTTCCTACTCCTCACAGGATGAAGCTGAACCCTGAGCTTACCTTCAAGGCCTGCAGTGTCCCCTCCAGCTGTCCTCTCCTCTACCTCTCTGGCTCTGAGAACCAGAAGCTTCTGGGTTGCACAAAGCTCTTCCTCTTACCAGTAGGCTTTTATCATCTGCTGTTTCCTAGAGTGCCCTTCCTCGCTGTGTGCTCTGGGTAAATGCTCCACTTCATCTCAGGCCCCAGGCCACCTCCTCCATGCTGTCTTCCAGTTGCTATCTGGTCCCAGCACAGCCTCTGACCTCTGGCTTGAGCATCTTTGCCCTGACAGGTTCAGGTTTCCATTTCGGCCCCGGGCAGAAAGGTGTCAACATCCCACTGCTAGTTCTCTAGTTCAGGGCTTGCTACCGACTCCCTTCCTACACACTCACAGGACTTAAAAACCAATCTGAGTACTTGCGGACGACACCAACAGAGGTCAGAACAGGCACAACTATTGGCATAACTCAAAGAAGCTCCTGTTTGTGAATGGCCATCACAGTGCCAGACACAGCATCATCAGGATTTTTTTTTTTTTTGAGTGGGGGGTGAGACTAACCTTAGTGGTCCTGGATGAAAGGGTGCATAGCCCTGAGCAGGGGCCTTCTATGGCAGGCTTGCAAAACTAAATGCTAAGAATGCCACTCTCCTCCTCCTCCCCCATGGAAGGCAAACACTGTTCACCAATCATATGGTTCATTCTCACTGAACTTGAACCCAGACCCTGAGTAATCTTTGAGGGAGAGACCGACGGGTCTGGGTTCTTTTGCCACCTGCAACAAAGGGTTCTGGGTCTCTGGGTACCAGGCCATGCAGTCTGCCTTCCTGACTCCTATGAGACAACTCCCAGTGTTAGGCAGGGTACACCCACTCACCTTTTTCCTGCCTCCCTGGGCTGCGTGGCTTTGACTGGGACTTGGGCTGGACAGTGGAGCGAACAGGGGAGCTGCACTCCCCAGCCTGTTTGAGCCTGCCCAGCTGCTCAGGAGCTGTGTGGCCTTGGGCCCATTCCTTGCTCACTCTGGGCCTCTGACCTCATCTGTGATGGAAGCAACAGCGGCTTCCTTGGGTGAAAGGATTAAATGATATCATGGGCTCTAGCCCAGCACACAGCACATGCTCAGCAGGTGCGGGGGTACCTGCCTCCCATCTACCTGTCCCCCATCTACCTGCCCGTCCATGCTGGCAGCTGTGGCAGCTACCAGTGACTCACATCTCATCCCATTTCCTGGCTTTGCCCCAGTGCCAGGAAAAGAGCAGGTCTCCTCTGCTCTTTGCTCGAAGGAAATCTCACTGCCTGCATCCTCCTGACACCCTGTACCTGCCATGTTCTGACATGCAGGACCTCCCTGAGTGAGATTACAGATGGATAGACTGAGGCTGAGATCTTGGGAGGGGCTGCCCGCTTCCTCCTCTTCCACTATGAAGCCCTCTGTGATTTCCCTCCCAACACCGACCTGGGCCTCAGTGAGAATAGGCATTCTGGCATCTCCCAAGCTAGAAGCAAGCTCCTGAACGGAAGACTTGTGTTCTAGAACTTTCTTTCACAAGGATCCTTGGGTAAAGCCCTTGGCTGATCCTTGTTTTCTGAACTGCCCTGTGTCCCCTGCACTGAGCTTCTCTATGGAGTGTGGCCTAGGCTGGGGGGCTCGAGGGGCTGATCTCACTCCTGTCCTGCTTCCACCTTACACTGTGTGACCTTAGACTAGCCGCTTTGCTTCTCTAGACTTCAGAGATCCCATCTGTCTCACAAGAAGCCTTGTAGTAGCTTCAGGTCACCCAAGAAGGGGGTTGAAGAGGGTGACAGTGATCACAGTTATGGGTACCCAAGGGCCAGGGGCCTGAGTTCTTTCTGGGACTGTGGGCACAATGTCCATTTCATGTTCCTGAGGCAGTAGTGGAGCTCTGAGTCACACAACTTCAGGAGAAAATAAGTATGGCCCCTTCTGGTTTCCTGCCCCCGTGTCCGGCCCTTGTTTCCATGCACAATGGCCCTGGCTGAGACAGCAGGGTGGGCAGCTTAACCCCTTCGTGGTCACAGGCTGCTCCTTGAGCTCTCAGCATGAGAACTTGTAATTAACAGGGCTGCCTGAGGCTCAGCTGCTCCCCAACCCCTCTGGGGTCACGCGGTGCCTTTCAGCATGGGGCTCGGGCATGCCGCACAAGAACGAATCCTGTGTCCTCCCTGCCTGAGGACCAGCCCGACTTGCAGGCCACTGCCCTCCCACCCCTCAGCCCCCACTTCTTGTCTACCCGGCCTCCCATGAGCTCTGCTCTGCCATATCCTCCCTCTCCCTCAGAGTCCCGTCTGCTCACCACACACATCCGTGAGGTGAGATGCGAGGCCAGGGCCCATGTGCAGCGGAGCCCAGAGGTGCCCACTGCTCAGAGCGTGCTGATGGGCATTCTCTTACTCGTACTGTCACTAAGCTGGATGGGGTGAGTGGGGGGCTTGTGACCATGGTGTGGGCTCAAATCTTTTTTTTTTTTGGTGGGACCGGGGATTGAACTTCCCTTGCGCTTGCCAGGGAAGTGCTTATTCCACTGAGACATCTCCCCAGCCCCAAGGGCTCAAATCTTTATGACATCCATAGCCACTTCTCTGGGGTAATGGGTAAGTTCAGCCCTGATTCCTCAAAGATCTCCTGTTAGTTGCCAATCCCACTGCCAAGTGTGAACACTGTATTCAACCGATAGAGGAAAACATTACTGTCCCATTTTACAGACGACCACACAGAGAAGCCACAGAAACTGGAAAGAGAATGAGCTCTGGAAGACAAGATCCTAGCTCAGATCTCCACCCCAGCTCTTCTCCACATCTCAACTGCCCTCACTAGGACATAGGAAAGGGGCTCTGGGGGCACTAAGGAGCTCTGATGTTCAAGAGCCTTCTATGTGCCTCGCTTTCTGTTCACATAGTGCATCATCTCTCTCCCCACTGCTCAGGCAAGCAAACTAAGGCTTGGAGACATCTCCAGGGTTCCACACAAGCAAGTGGCGGAGCTGGGATCTGCGTCCAGGTGACCGCCCCTAAGCCCTTGCCTTTGAAGTCTTCTAGGTGGGCTTCTCTGAGCTTTGAGGGTTCCAGTGGCTCCTGGGTCCCAGCCTTTGGGAAGCTGGGTGTTTCCCAGCACCAGATCCCCTAGCGTGAGGCTGCCCCCTATGGTGATTGGGCATCAAGGGAGGAGACTACATAGACAGGGCCCTAAGTGTGCAGAGTCACCCACAGGTGGCCTATCCTGAAAACAGGGGACACCGAGAGATGCACTGAGCCTCAGGTCTCCCTTTTTAGGGCTCCTCTCCCAGTCTCAACACAGCCCCCGAGACCTTTGAAAATGTCAGGCCTTGGCAAATCCTCTTCCACAGGGGAAGGGACAGAAGGAGACGCAGACACCCAGGTGCCAGTCCTCTGCCCCAGTAGGCTGGGTGATAGGGAGCAGATTCCCGCCCTCTCTCAGCCTGCCACTGAAGGGAGCCTCATGGGGTTGTACTGGAGAAGCCACGTCTTCTTTATGCCCTGCTCTGATGCAGGCACTTGTGCCTAGGGGGCCACCCCTGGGTGCACCTTTTCCAGCCCTGCTCTGACTCCTGAGGACACCTCAATACCCACTCTAGAGATAGGGAAGCTGACAACGGTCCGATGGAGGATGTGTGGGAGCCCCACTCACCGTGCCTGTGGGCTGAGAGTCGCTCTGCACTGTCTCTGTCAGTCCAGGGCCAAGAGTAGAGTGGATCTCGGCCGGCTGCCTCTGGAGCGAGCCGCACCCAGCGTGAGGGAGGCTGGCTTCCTCCCTCCAGGTTTTCCAGCTGGACAGGGCCCATTTCCTCCCCCAGGACAGTTTCCTGTTATTGTTGCTTTGGGAGGGCTGGGCTGCCACAGATAGGCAGACCCTCAGTGGGCGGACCCCTCCCCGCCCTCTTGGGATGCTTCACTCAGATCCCCATTGCAGGCCTCAGGGCCTGGGCTGGGAGCCCAGCACCTGCCGGTGGTCGGCCTGTGGGGGGCCTGGGCCCGAGCCAGGGCATTGAACCCCTCTTGGGACTCTCCACACAGGTGTCATGACCTCTACTTTTTTTTCTTTTTTTCTTTTTGAGACATGGTTTCATGATGTAGTTCTGGTTGATACTGAACTCACTATGTGAGTTGAACTTGAACTCATAGTGATCCTCCTGCCTCAGCCTCCCAAGTGTTGGTGGCATGCACTACCATGCCAGACATTATGACCTTTATTTTATAGTCTTGGAGGCTGAGGCACAGGGAGGCTAAGGTGCCTGTCCACCAGTTAGACTGTAGTAGTCAGGAATCCAGCTAGGTTTTCTTTCTCATTTTTAATGTAAAAAGTTATTTATTTATTTTATTTGGTACAGGTCTTACTATGCAGCTTATATTCATAGTGATCCTCCTGTCTCAGCCTCTTCAGTGCTGGGATTACAAGTGTGCTCCACCATGCCTGGTTTTGGTGACTGGTCAGGTATGCCTGGGGTTCTGGGGCTGGCAGGGCATGCAGTACTGGGGATCGAACCTGGATTCTTGAATTTGCCAGGCAGTCGCTTAGACCGCCTAGCTATCTTCCCAGCCCCAGCTGGGTTTGCTATGGCTGTCCCATACCCTCTGCAGTGGGCAGGGGTCTTCGGTTGGGAATGAGAGCAGATGGCAGCTCTCGGCACTGGGAATCATTGCAGTCTTGAGAAAAACAAGAGTTAAAAAAGAGCTTGGAGGACAGGGAAATAGATGCTTGACCAGAGCGCCTCAAGAGCAAGAAGCCAGGGGAGAGAAGGCCGAGGCTCATGAAGGGCCCCTAAAGACTATAGAGGCCTGCGCCCTGCTGTAGGCTGACTGATGTGGAATCTCTGGGCAGGCGCCGGGAATCTGGCCTTTGAAGAGCTGCCCTGGTTTTCCATGGGTGAGTGAGTGGCTGGGAAGTCCCGAACTTGTTCCACAATTCAGCAGGGACAACAGGGACCCCAGCAGGGAGGGTGTTGCTCAAGGACACTCAGGAAGTCAGGGAATGAGATAGAGGAGAGCGGGAAGAAAAAGGGGGGAGGAGGGGAGGCAAAGATGGCCCAGTTTTGGATAGGAGGAGTTTGAGATGCCCAGAAGACACCCAGGGGTGGCAAATGGAGGTGGGGTGAGATTGATCCCATGATGAGGGTTGGAAGCCATGAGTTTGCAGTTGGTGCTGGGACAGCCATGCAAGTGGATGGGTTTACTGGGAGAGAGTTCTGGACTTTCACATTTGGCTCAGCAGAGCAAGGTCTGGCCCAAAGTGGGCCAGAAAGCCAGGCTGGCACGGCAGGTAGTCCCTGGGTCACCTGGGAGAGCAGACAGCTGGCACATTCCTGTTGAAACTAGAGAACAAACAAAGCCATCACTTTTGACCAGAGCAGGCCAAACAGAGGGGCTCAGTGAGACTGAGGAGGGAGGGAGGGTGGGGGCGGGACTGAGAAAGTTGGCTTGTGGGGCACCCCGGCCCCTGCCAGTCTGGCCAAGTAGAAGTGTGGGAAGGTTGTTGGGAGCTGCGGTGGGCGGTGCGCTTGTGTTCTGAGGGAGAATCCAGTAGACAGGCAGGACAGACAGCCCTGGGTCACCTGCTGGGGGCCGCGGGGCACTCACAGCCTGTGGGCAGAACAAACACCAGCTCAGCGATTCCTTCTCTGCCGGGTATCCTCTACCTTCTGCCTGGAGCGCGCTGTCCCTTGGTGCCCCACCATGTTCTCCTCATCCTTGCAGGTGCCACCTGCCTGCCCACATGGTCTATGGAGGACTGAAAGCCTGGGTGTCACTTTCTGCAGGCCTGTCGCACCACCACGTGTCCACTCCCGCTGTGCTTCACAAGGAAGACAATTCTGCCCTGAAAACTGAGGTTCATCTCTAAATGCGGAGGCTGTTGACTATGTGCAGTGCCCTGAGCCCCAGGGCTAGAATGGAGGTCCCCATAGTGTTGGGGACTAGGGGATATGAAATAATAGTTTATTATGTCAGGCCAGGCTACGTGACTGTGAGCTTGTGGCTCAAGGCCAGCGTAACTTGCTGCGAGGGACAGGAAAGTTTACAAATAGCCGCCTGCTCTCTGACAGTGCTGGGAAAGCTTGTATTCACAGCCTCTTGAGACAAGATAATATCTTGAGACAAGACAATAACTTTAACTTGTTCCCTTTGAAATGCTAAACTTGACCCCCATTTTATCATCAGTTAAAGTATTGCAAAACCCCCCATGGAAATGGATAGGTTTACTGGGAGGGAGCCCTGGACTCTCACTCTTGCCTCAGCAGAAGAGGGTCCAGCCAGAAGGAGGCCAGGAAGGCAGGCTGGCAAGGCAGGTAGTCCCTGGGTCACCTGGGAAAGCAGACGGCTGACACATCCTGGTTGAAATTGGAAACAATACTGAGAGAGCCAGTGTACTGGAGGCCAACTCCTCCAGGTCCTCCTTGAACCTTAAGTATTATCTTTTATATTTCTTTATTCCTGCCGTTCCCCCCCATAGGTGTCCAGGGTCAGGGAGGAGGAGGAGGTCAGTGACCTTCTGCCCCCTTGAGGATCTCATGCCCAGTCTCTGGCTCTGCCTGGCTCCTCCCTGCCCGACCCCTCTGGAGAGGGGCACAAGGGCAGGAAGTGCCAGCCGGGAGTGGAGTGAAGGCAGCAGCTGCGGGTCAGCAGGAAACGGGATGGTCTGCGCAGCCTGATTAGCTGCAGCCAGGAGGAAACACAATGGCACTGGGGGAGGGGTGGAAGGACAAGGCGAAGGATGCCCACCCTGCCTCTGCCAGGACAAGGGCTGACCAGTCATGGGCTTGGAGATGGCAGACCCAGGCCCAGACGCCGGTGTGGCCAATCCCTGCCTGTGTGACCTCTGAGTCTCTTCCCTCCCCTGGGAAATGCGTGTTCGGGTCAGGCTTTGCAGGGCTGTCCGGAATCAAATGGGAATCAGTGACAGTAACGCGGCTTAGGGAACTCGTTCTCAGAGAGCAGTCTCCCCAGCACAGAACCACTTGGGTGGGTAGAGGAGTGGAAAATGCAGATTCCTGGGTCCCACCCCATGTCGATGGTGCCAAACAGCAGACAGTGGGACCCTGAGACCTACTAGTTTGCAGCCCACCAGGCAGTGCGTGTGCTCATGTTTGATGGCTGCGGTCTCCCGGATGCTGGTGATGCCTGGTGCTGTCTCTGAGGACTCTCATGTGACCCTCAGGACTACTGTCAGCCTGTTATACAGATGGGGAAACTGAGGCTTGGAGTCAGGTGCTCCCTAAGAACACAGAGCTTTTCAGCAGTGCGGCAGCTATGTGCCAGGCCTCTGTCTCAGGGCCTTCCTGCCACCCACCTCATCCACTTAGCTGTCCTTCCCTGTGACAGCAGTGGGGACAGCACAGGGTCAGATCCCAGGGGCAGCTCACTCACCTGCTGTCCTGTGCTGGGCGGGAAGGCAGGGGAGTGGTGATGCCCGGAGCTGCGGCAGAGGCGGTGGCTCTTCCCCCTTTGGTGTTTCCTTCTTTTCTGCGCCCTCACTGGCAAAGCCTGGAGCCTTCTCCACTTCAGTCTCACCTCCTCCGTGTGCCTGCCCCACCCGGCCACCACCCGGCCTCACGCATCTGCCGAGTCCTGTCCTCCACCTGATGGGTCTCTTTTGAGTCTCTGTCCCTGCCCCAGCACAGGAGGGTGGACCTGGAACTGGGCACCAGCACCAGTACCCACGCCCCAGGGGTCGCAGGGCATGGGGGCCTCACCTCCTCTGTCGCCTGCAGCCTGGCCTCCCAGACAGGCCGTGGCCAGTCATGCTTGGCGCCCTTTCTTTCCTCTTTATGCTGTTTTTCTTTTCTGGAATTCTTAGTACTTATGCTTGATTTTAAATTTTCAAACTTTCCTATTGGTGTGTTTATAAAACATAATGATTGCATTTGTTTTGGGGAACTGGTCACTTATATCCATCTTGATCATTTCTATCTCTTTTCTCTCTGGTCCCCTTCCTCAACTCCAAAAGCTTCCTCATTGCCTACCATTTCTTTTTTCCTTTTACTCTTTTTTTTTTTTTTTTGAGACAGGATCTCACCATGCAGTTTATGCTGGTCTAGACTTACCATGTAATGCAAGCTGGCCTCAAACTCATGGACTCATGGTGTTTCTCCTGCTTATAGGTATGTTCTATATCTGGTCCTATTTTACTCTTAAATGTATTTATATGTTGTGTTTCCAAAATAAGAGAAGCTGTTCCATATTTAACCTTCTGTGCCTGACTTATTTCACTTAGTATTTTGATCTCATGATTCATTTTCATGCAAATGACCTGAATTCATCCTTCTTTATGGCTGAGTAATACTCCACTGTTTGAGCTGAGTGGCAAGAGCATGCAGAAGTAGACATGAAGTCAGAAGCTCCTGGGAGGACATGGCTGACGTCTGTTCCATGGATTCCCTCTGCAGTTTGATTCTCTCCCTGAGCGCACTTCCCTTTTCTTCCCCCTTCCTCTCCATAATTGCCCCTGATACCAGAGGCAGAGCTTTTTGAGGATGCTATAAACATTTACCATGTGCCATCTCTGACCCAGACACTGTTCACACTGGTGAGGGCCTTAAGGAGGGCATCTCTGTGCCCGTTTGACAGGATTAAGTAACAAGCCCAGTGTGGCCCTGCCTCCTTCAAACCAGGCTCATGAAGCTGCAGGGTCTCACTGGACACTCCAGGTGCAGCGGGGGTCCAAGCCGCTCCTGCATCCTGCCTCTGAGCCTCAGTCCATTGCGTCCAGGACGCTTCTGCCCCCCCGCCCTCCCAGCCAGCCCAAGTCCTCCTGGCCTTCCCATG